GGTCGACCTCCACGTGGTTCCCCCTGTAAACCAACGTGAATAATTTTTGTTAAATTCATTACGATGGGTTAACTAATCCGCTTCATCCTCACATGTCATATCTTACTGATGCCCCGCTAATGTATACCGGTAGCGAAGACGGGATAACCATTTCATTATCACCCATTAAAAAAAAACTAAATATATATAATACGTACAAATATAATACAGATTAGATTTAAACCAAGAGACACCATAAATTTAATTACCCACAAAGCCTTAAGTACGTCTGGACTTGATGTCAGTTTTATGATTCCATATATTACTTTATTGACGTGCCTCTCTTGAGCATACGTATAAATTTTATTGCTTGCGTGTTTTCGAGTACCTAAGTGTTTTGATACAACTTTCAAGCTAATACAGTGGTCAACAGATAGAAAATCCCTTATCTTCACTATTACGAAATCTTTACGTAAACTATTATAAAATATTCCTTCATACCTACTTTCTACTATTAATCTTTATATCATTATAGAAATTTTGGTTTTATTTGATCTGTTTATTGTATTATTTAACACTAGCTGTATCCCGAGATTTCACCCGCATAAATTAGTATATAAAGCATTTTTTACAATAAGTTAGGATATAATCCATCTTTTTTCTAAACCATTTTTTTAATTTCATTCTAGAATAGATTATAAAAAATCTTTAATCAAATAGACTCGTATATAGGCTCTTTTAAATTGTAATTTTTTTATTGTTGCCCTGCTGGGTTTGGGATGTTGTTATTTGTTGAGAGGAACCCGCAAAAAACTTAACAATCCAACTCCGTTCAATCCCTTCAAATTTAAATCCGTTTAGTAGTTTCATCGCATTTATTATATTAATAGAAATTTTACGTAATTTGTAATGATGGGGCATTAGTGATCTGTAAACACAGATATTATGAATGAATGAATGAATGAATATTTATTTGCAAGAAATATGGTAAATATACAGATAGATAAAATAATATTAAGTCCACATATTTCGCCACAATTAGGCATACAAAATTTTAAATACTTAAATATTAAATTAACAATTCTTACAATTATTCCCTATACATCAAGTACCGAACTCTCATAAAACAGATATCACAAATTTCATTGTATCTAATTACTTACTGTTTTTTGTGAAAAGAAATAGATAATCCAATCATCCATTTATTCATTCATAGACAAACGATTAACTGTCAGCAACAATAAGGAAGAAACGTAAATATAAAACTGATGATACAAATGATTTCATAATTCCAAATAGAAAAAATACTAGGGCGGCGTTAAAAGATACAAAATTAAGAATTCATCTAGAGCAGTCGTTAGCTATAAATATATTATGTCGGCGCTGTAAACAGATGTCCCTAGCCATAAAGAGTTAATTATCTAAGAATACCCTCCCTAGTATACCGTCAGCACAAGAATAGCTCCCTTGGGAACCGTTTGTGCTTCGCCTTTCTTTTTATTTCTGTACTACGCTGCAACATGAATATGGAAGTATTTCTCTGCACAAGAGATTTTATAGATAGATTTATACTCGTACATGTTCGAGCTATTTAAAAGCAGTTTCTCAGATTTGATTTATTTTAAGTCTTGTTATTTTTACATTTTGTTTTACTTTCATTTAATAGCGTAACATTTAAAAAGAAATATAATTATTTTCATTACTTTTTAAATGTTAAGACAAACGTTTAAGAGTTTTATTTTCTACTAGTTTTTACTCGTGAGTTCGTCTATGTCGATTGACCGACATAAATAGTAGCTTATCTCCTTTTTTTATCTCAAATAGTACAAGTGTGCCAAATACGTAGCCCTTAGTTAAGCTTTTTCGATACTCATTTTCACATTTATAATATTATTAAGGATAGGTACTATTTTCAAACATTATTTATTCAGCCGTTAACTGTCCACTGCTGCTGCTCATAAGAGGAGCTTTGCCAGTAGTTGCCACGCTTGGCAAGCGGGTTGGCAACTGTAGTTAGGCTTTTTTTTGCTGTTGCTCATCCCTCGCCCTTTTTTAATCAATTTTCAAACAGTACACAAATATAATAGTCAAATACTAAAATTAAAACTAAATAATTTTTTACGATACTTTTATTCGCTCGATTATTCTTATATTTTAAATATTATATACAAGAATCTTTATATAAATACGAACATGTACGTAAGTACATGATCCTTAATCTATGCATATGTAGAGGTATGATGGTAACAAAGAGATATCTACTCGTATAAAAATACAATACATTAATATTTTACCGAGTCCTCGGCATATGTCAATCGACCGAATGAACAAATGGTTATCGGATATTGGATCTCATCAACTGAGTTGTTGCTGCCAATTTGCCATTAAAAAAGGTCGTCTTGTATGCATTTGGAAATGTCAAATTATTTATTTAGGCCAGCTTTTGCGAAATTTTATGGACCTTCGAAGTGCTGTACCCAAAAGTTTGTCTCTTCTCCCTTAAGTTTTTAACTATGCAAGTAAAAATGTGGATTAGATCAAGAACTACAATGTAAAATTATTTTGATTTCTCGGTTTTAAAATTATAACAAGTTTAGAATCTATTGACATTATATCAGATACACTTGGCAACAGATTTTAAAAATTAATACTCATTTCAACTAAATTATTTTTTCTAGATATAATGTTACGCAATATTTTCTGAGTAGTGTATTATTGTAATAGTTACATCTCTTTATTTTAATATCCGCAATAAAAAAAAATATATATTATAAGACAAATTCATCATCATCTTCCTACACTTATCCCAATTATTATTTGGGGTCGGTGTAATATGGTTATATACGAGTATGATAAGACAAATGATTCAATCGTAAAATAATATTAATTATTTTTTAATATAATATTTATTACTTTGTCTATTTTTGTCTATTTTGGAAAGATAACTATTATACTAAATAATTTTTGGTTAGTATTAAATTGATGTATATTTTTATTTCATTTTGCTAGACATTGTTGGTATCTACTACTAAATGAATGGCTTTTGAGTAACATTCTATCAGATTTGATTGGGATACTCACAATAAAATACTCAGTGAAGCAGTCGTAATATATCTAGCTATACAATATTAGCAATTGTTCTTGTTATAAGAATTTCCTGTTATTATCGTGGTCTATTACATTTTATGTATATACTCTATAAATCTACGTACCTATTACAATTTTCGGAATTCAAGACAAAATGTGAATGGTAATATTTAAGTCCACAATTTATATAAGACACCCACACGCACGCAGGCAAGCATGCATGCACGCACGCGTACACACACTCACGCATACACACGCACGCACGCACACACACTCTGCTTACATTGTGTGGTATTTATCGTATTATTCATATCTAGACGAGATACTTACCATTTTTCATCCAATGACTATCAATTTAAAAAGTAATATAAATTTTGTAAGTTTTTCTGTTGTCATGTAGTCTTTGGTACTCTCACAATTAAGATGAATCTAACGGCATCCCATTTAGTAGAATCCTTAGAGCTCTTACGAGTAAAGTGTCCACAAACGACACGATTCGGCATATGCTCAGTCGAACCGATCTCTCTTTCGATTTGCCTTTTGACATGCCAATTGATATAGATCTGATTTTACCAATAATTTCTTCTTAACAATTGTATATTACAGCGTGTCATTTGTAAGAAAATATTTGAGGTACTTCAAAAAGAAGAAATTTTACTTGTATGTACCTATCTATTTTTAGATATATAAACATAGACATGTTATGCGATATATTCCCAAATTTTGAACGAATTTTAATAATTTTTTTTTTGTTATATCAGTGCATTTATTTTTCCCTCATATTAATTTTTCCACAATTAAAGTTACTGTATCTTTTTCAGAATTCAATTTTAGCTTAGATATTTTGCTATTTATGCTTCCACATATATGAATTTAAATGTATCCACATTTACTTGTATATAAAATATTTTTGAAATTTCGTAGTCAGTTATTTAAAAAAACTACGGTAAAAAACTTTACATTAACCCAACTAATATAATTTAAATATAAATAAATTTAATTGTAATAATTAAATACAATTACAATTAATGTATTTCAATTTAGTTTTTATTAATTTAATTTTCCATCATAATATACGAGTATAGGGCTTGCTTATTGAAAAGAAACCGTGCAATGTAAACGAGAGAGGCAATAAAAACATGTAAATGGTGGTAACTCATAAAATAAAAATGCTCACGCGAGTAAAGCCATTCCCGTAATGGGATTCCTTCCTTAAATGACGACAAGAAGCCGAGATTCCGCCACCTCGGATCAACGTATGAGTAAAGAAATGATTTTATGAGCACATTCTACCATAAATATATTTTTTTTTTTCCTAAACATTGTGACCTCTGTGTGGAAACTTTTTGTGTGTCTAAATCGAGATCAAGCTTACATCTGATATGACTTTATTTCTTAAGAATAGATTTTTTTTTCTTTTTTAAGATATCTTTACCTTTATCTACTTTAAAAAAAATACCCACAATACGCTACTGAGAATATTTATAGCCGACCATATTTTTATTCATATTTAAAATATATTTTTCTTTGGATTCTGAATGTATTTTTATTAATTTTGTAAAGAAGTTTTTATGCTAATTCTATGCGTAAAATGTATTAATAAAAATGTGTTTATATGTATTAGTAGTACATATTTATGTGTGTTTTAGGATTCTTGATTTATAATCTTTAAAAATTTCAGTATATATATTAAGAACTAATAAAGAATTAATTTAAAGACAAAATACCTCCAAATAACTATTAAAAACAATATATTTATTATAGGAATAATAATATGAAATACACAAAATTTGAGAAAAAATTGCGACGTTGGTAGTTTGTGGAAAGGCTTTCATTTAGTTTGAAATTGTGTAATTTATCATGTTTATTATTAAATAACTGGTTATCTATTCTATATTTAATGTATAAATTAATACAATTTTCAATTGTTACAGGTACATAGCGATCGGAATCCTCATATAGAAGTGTTACATTATGCATGCATCTAATAAATTACTTTTATTATACCGGATAAAGTCGGGCCATAAAAACTGTAAGTCGTAACTGTCACATTACGTTTAGTGTGGCAACTTTTGTTTCGTGCGACAAAGTGCCGCGTCTGTGATGTTGCCAGCTAAGGCCGTAAAAGGCGGCATTGCCGAAAATTCTTGGAGATATGATGATGCTCCGTAAAACTGAGTTATTCAGTCTCAACAAAATGCTACTGACGGCATATGCTGCTTTGCTTCTGTGGAGGTTCGACTGTGTGGTCGAGAGCACCAAAGGTAATACGCATGTTTTGTCAACCCTCATTTTTTTTTTCAATTTAATACAGCAATGGCAAACAATCAGTCGATTGTTCATTATTATTGCCTATCTATTTGATGGAAAGCAGTGATTATCACCTTACAGTAAATATACAGTATCATAAACTTCACAGAATACACCGCAAAGCCCATGATACGTTGCCATAAGATTTTATGCCTCCGTACTCTGTAATTTTCCTGCCATTATAAAATACCTCATTATTATGTATGAGTGTAACTCTTTATAAAAGGATATAACCTATTAATTCTACGATGTCTAGGCGACTCGGTATAACTTTTTATTTCTCTTACACAAATTTATTGTGCTTTGATCTCCTACTCCCTTCTTACGATATTGTGAAAATGAGAATATTGTATTGTAACTCTAAAAATGTACTCTGTTTTTACCCCGTCACTCTACAAAACATTTTTAATTAAATACGATTTCTTAAATTCTTAAGTATGTTATTGTGAAATCTTATTTTATTAGTGTTCTGCACAGCATATATTTTATTTTTATGCTTGATTGTAGTCTAAGTTTATACGAATTTCAAACTTCAAATTCGAAATCTTGTTTGTATCCGCACCGAAGTTTTAGAGAGAAGTTGCCCCAAGAAAATAAACTAAAACGAACCTATAAAGAAGTTCTGGCTATGACTTCGTAACGTTTATGTTGGAAATAAAAGCGCATAAGTTAGTGAATTGTCTCAGTGCAACGCTTTGAATTCAAAGGCATTTAGTACCATTCACGTTTCATGGTCGATAAAATCGTGCTAATACTTGTTGTAAAATGTGAATGTTTGTGAAAATGTTGTTTATATTTGAATAACCCTGGAGTGGCAACCTCATACAAGCAAGTGCAGTATGGGATGAACCCCTGCGAGATGGAGTAACGATATTTAAAGCAGCGTTGCCAGGTTGGGTATTTTTTTTTTGCAATTTTTGATAAGAAATTTTCTATTCGCGAAATTTTGGGGAAATGAAGTTCTTGGAGACATTTTTGTAGAAAAAATGGGCTTGGAGAAATTTGGATAATTTTTTGGAAATAGTTTGTGTTTGTAAACTTTGTATAGGTATACAAGGTATGTAATTACAATAAAATATATAACTGAATGTACATAACGGAAAGAAAATAAGAAAAAGAAGAGAGAAAAGTGGGAACAGAAGGAATGGCTCTTTTTTTGTCGTTCAATTTATGTCATATGGCAAAAATAGTGAAAAACGATACAACTTTCTATGAAATTCACAAAATTATATCGATTTGAAGAAAAAGTATTTGACGTTTGAATAAAAATCAAAATTCGCATCTGGCCACCCTGATTTAAAGTGTTGTAGTAAGTCACTGAATACAAGTGGCGTAGGATCATATTTTGTGGCAAAATTTATATCATAAAAATTCCTTTTTGATAAAACATATTCATGAATAGAAATTCTAACGTTCAGAATATAACGTTTTTGAAACGTTTTCTTTTGAAAATTAACATAATAATATTTTTCTTATAAAAACATTTAATACTTCGTAAATATTCAGACATTTCAAATAAATTTTTTTCTTTATTTTAAATAAATGTAAATCCCTACTAATATCATAAATTTGAAAGTGAGTTTGTTTGATTATATCTTATAGCATCTTAACCGCTTAACCAATCACTATAAAATTTCATATTACAGGTATTTAATGAAATAGAGAAAGATATGGGATAATCATACCCCGGATACGCGAACGAAGTAGCGGCTAAAAACTAGTAATAAAGTAAAAAAAAACTTCGAATCACATTTACATTATCGAGAAACGGTTTCCGCTTGCCAAAATTAAGAATATTATTATATTAAAAAATAAATAGATATGCACATTATTACTTGATACTTTATTAAACAATGATTCTTTCAAAAAAAAAAATCATATACTTACGTGAAATTTTTAGACGAAATTTGCCCGGATAAAAGTTCGATAAAAGAGAATTGTCATTTAATACAGATAAATGATTCTTTGTTGATTTCTATGTACCCACTTTACGTAGAATGGCCGTTATCTACATATTACAGAACTATTTGTAATAAAATTCAAGATATTTTTAAACAATTACCAAATTTAAATTAAGGTTCATTATTTCATCCCACATTCTTTTCATATCCCATAGTACAAACTATTTCTACAATTTTCAACCTAAATATTTCACTGTGCTTCTAATGTAGACAGTTGTCGTAGACATCTTAACCAGTGTGCGGACGAAAATGGGAGCTATTTCTTATTTACAATACGAATCTGTTTTATATGCCTTGTCTTCAATTTAGAGAGACAATTTTTCTAATATTATGTATAAAGCTTTCGACTATAGCACACGCGTCTCACATTGCAAAATATTTTCCGTGTTTCCAATAAGCTTTGAGTAAATTTTATTTTTATCTTCATGCCTAGTCCATTACGGCAAAGGCAGAAAAAAGATTGGCCAGATGTATTCGATAAAAAATATTTTTTTAATATTATTTTTTTATAAGGTTTATTTACATGTCGAACTTTTAAATACACCAGAGGGAGACTTTGTACAAAAGTGGTTTGCTTGGGCACCTCTGTCCCATTCGTGTTTCTACCGTAAAACAATTGTGTTTGTATGGCTGTGTTTCAGTTTGAAAGGAGAGATATGACAGCGAATTTACACGGTACACAGGAATAACACCTGAGTCCTCAGAAATGGCAACGCATGGGAAGTATCATGAGCGAAACATTATACTCTGTTATATTCATGATACTGCTCATGTCTATAGGCGATGGTTACCACTTTCCATCAGGTGGGCCGTCAGCTTGTTTGCCATTCTTAGTTGCATAAAAGATAACATCATCTAGTTATAATTTTATTATTATTGGTAAAAGTAAAATTTAACTAAAAATACCTATTACATAAAAATATGCATAACAAATGGTGATATACTTTGGCATTTGTCACGATATAATTAAATTTGTTTAGTTTAAAACTTTTTATTGTATCAGCGGTTAATTGATCATTGCTGAACATAGGCCTTCTCCTACTGGAAGATTTTATCAGTAGTTGTCACGTTTGGCAGACTGGTCGGAAACCGCAGTTAGGTTATGGTGATAATTTAAGAGGGATACTGTTGCCCATCCTGTTATATTACACACACAGTACATGTAGGACTATAATATTATTTTGAAGTCATTATATTACTACCCTTAGCCTACGGCTTTGCTCGCGTGCACCCACTATCTTCGGTTCCTATGGAATTTTCGAGAAATCCTTTCTTGCACTCATCTACATATGGAACACCCGCCCTAATTACGCATTAAATTAAAATTGTTTATGTTTTTGTTACAATAAATAATAATATTTTATGAGTTCAGTTAATTATAATTACATTTTCCGAACAGGACTCGAACCCATACGCCTTAATTTTTTTTAGCTTTACTGTTGCTTCTATTCCACTTTTCCCGATCTTGTGCATCACTCTTAGATACATCATTGACAGACAGCTTTATTTGGACCGACCACGAGATCTAGTGCCATCTATTTGCAGATTCGAGTATCTATGACTAATGTAATCTACCGGTTTCCGCATGACGTGGCCATACTAGCGCAAACAGCTTACTTGTATTTTGATATTTCATTTAGATATATATACCCTATATACTCTAACTATCAAAAACAATTGTATTTTATAACATTTTAGACGATGATTAGCGGACGAATTGTATTGTTGTAATTATAAAAAGTTATAAATAGTGATATTTATTCTCGTTATTATCATAGTCATAGCAGCCATATTATCTCTCCACTGCTGGACATAAGCTGCCATAGATTGCCATAAATAACGATCCTGAGCTACCTGAATCCACTGACTTTCTGAAATGCTTTTGAGGTCGTCACTCCATCTAGTATATATATGAGTGGTCGTCTTACATTTATATTTAATTTCATTTGCCCGTACTACGAATATATAATGTGAGTTTTATATTATAGTTTATATTTAGCGCCAACATCTGAATATATACACATTAATTAAATTTCACAATTTCAAAATTTGATTACTTTTTAGTTTAAAAATTCCAAGACATTGTAAAAATGACACTTTTCGAAATAAGAATATATATAATAGTAGTATTTGTGACTTTATTGAGGTGTGTTTAATTTTTTTCTATGTACTTCTACATATTCTAAAAGTATCTAACAGAAACCTAATAAACGAATTTATACCTTTAGAGTAGGTACGTATAATATCTAAATGGGTCCCATTTGACAGCAAGGTATGGAAATTACCTCAATAAATTTGAGATGAATTTCGTCAAAGTCATACCTAGGGTCGACCTAATTGTCCCATTATAATTGATGGGTTTCTTTAGAGGACCATATTTTGAATTATAAATTGAAGCTAATTTAGATTATGGAAATTCCACAGGAAAATTAAAAATGTACGTATTTGAATAATGTATAATTAATGTAATGTCATTATGATGGAAACAACGACAGCACATCACAAGGTTTTCGCGTCAGCTGGTGTCTAATTTATGTGGTGCCAATCACTTTCACATTTTTATTTAAAAATAAAAGTTGATATTAAAATACAATTCAACCTTCAAATTTTGTCTTAAAAGGCAGGCAACGTACATGCAAATCATCTGGTATTGCTACTGATATAAATGGTCATGGGCGGGGCAAGTTCTTTACTATCAGGTGGGCCGCATTCTTATTTGCTGTCAGAGTTAATAAAAAAAAATACAATTTCAGATCTTGATTAAGTTCTTTTATATTAAAATTCAAGATTTTTTATTTGGAATTACTTTCTATTTTGTAAATAAGCTTTTATACATTTAAAAAAAAACTTAGTTATAGGATTTTGTGTGGGTGTTATAATGTCTATTACATCACGGTTACCACTTTTCATTCATAAAAATTGTTTGGCTTCATAAAGAAAATTAAATATAATTAACTCGCGAAGACGTCTTTAATTAAGATAAAGCGACGTAA